TGGTGAGTGTAGAGAACCGGAGACCCTTTTCACTGGAAAAGAGGCATTCCATCTTAGTCCTCACGGGTGACAACGCATTTGCATTTTGTTCGTAATCGAGGATAGATGTAGTCGGTCTATGCGTCACAGCAACTACTTACCATCAGGTGGACTGTGTGCTCGTATGTCACCCTTATTCTATAAAAAAAGTGTTTATAAACTTCCCACTAGCCACTTGATTATGATTAGATTTTTTTTTCTTTTTTATAGAACATGGTGACAAACGAGCACACAGTCCACCTGATGGTAAGTGGTTGCTGTGACCCATAGACATCTACATTTATACTCAATAAAGAATCAAAATGCAGATGCGTCGTCACCCGTGAGGACTTAGATATATACCTCTTTTCCACTAAAATGGGTCTCCGGTTCTCTACACTCACCATACGAAACACAGCAGTGTCAAGCTGCCATTTTACGCTGGTATTCTGTGAGAGCGTGGTCCTTCCTCGGTCGAGCCGACCCATTCGTGCTACAACTATACAGCTATACTACTAATATAGCTACAGCATAGCTCTACCACGTTTCTTATGTACTAGGTCAGATGACCTAGTACACAATATATTATGTCTGCTGCACAAAATATCGAAGTAAAATAACAGCATTATGTTGCTGTGTTTTGTGTAGTGAGCGTGGAGAATTGGAAAACCCTTTACTAATAACGAGGCATTCCATTTTACCTTGAAAATGACAAGAGATTTTTATTTTTATTCGAGAACAGACGAAGGTCGAAGTTTCCTCTGGTAAGTAACGAGAACCGAAGACCCTTAACAATACTTTTCATTTTTGAATCTTAGGTCTCAGGAGTTATAACGCATCACCATTTTGATTTTTAGTCGAGAATAGAATGTTGGTATTTAAAGGCTCCAGCTCCACTGACGACTATAGTTGACAGTTGTGTGACAGTGCTCTGCGTTTGTGCGTTTTATTTGAAAATTACTAATTTCAACCTTCTCTACTCTCTACTTAACTTCGTGTTGTCGTTTCTTTAAGGTATATGGTCGACCCATTCACTCTTCAGCTGACTGATCCATTAGGCTATGTCGATTACCCCTGTTCTACTACGTATATATTATTACGAATTTTTCCTTGCAAAGAAACTCCGAGAATAAGCAAGAAAGATTCCCGTGGACCAGCCTCGTGCCGAGAAGCGAAGTGTTGGGGTGCCCCCACTATATGAAATGACACCCTGGTAACACATTTTTTTTTACAGAATAAGGGCAACAAACGAGCACACAATCTACCGGTTGGTAGTGGATGCTGCAACGCATAGGTAATGCCTCGTATCCAGTAAAAAGCGTCTCCGGTTCTCTACACTCAGCGTGTTTTGTGGCGTTCCTCAGGGGAGGTCTATGTTCAGCAGTGGAATTATGAAGGACTGTGATGAATTAACGAATAAATGAACTACATGCAGTTGTTGGTGGTGTTTTCATTTATAGAGACATAATGAAAGGCCATAATATTTCATTATAATATATTTACTTCAAAAATTTTAAATCACTACTAAAATCATTTTCAATAATCATCACCAAACAATACATTGGTTCCTTAATGTACAACACTAATGTTTTTCAAACATATTATGTACCCTTGTCATAAAAGATTACGTTAGTTACAGCACATTACGAAATGTTCCTATACTTTCCTGGTAATAAGCGGCTTACCTCAACGTTAAATATTTAAAATTATATAGATTGTACTTTGTAAATTAAACGATTGAATACAAACCGACAAATGTCAAAGAAATGCTTTACCATAAAAATGAGTGTGCCTAAAGTACAAAAAAAAATTTAAATATTATCATCTCAATCAAAAAACCTAGCCCTGTTATTTAAAAAATGTCACAAAAATTATGCAGAAAAAAGCTAATTTTAATATGGGTATATAATATATAACACAACATATATTTTTGGTGACTCTTCCTTTTGTTTTTAAATACTAATATCTATACAAATAAATAAAATTGAAGTGTCTGTTTGTAATGTCAAAATTACAGTTTTTTTACTAAATGTATATGAAAGTAAATACGATACCTATAACTAAAATACAATTTTTAAAATTTTTGTCTGTCTGTCTGTCTGTCTGTTTGTTCCGGGTAATCTCGGAAACGGCTGGACCGATTTTGACGGGACTTTCACTGGCAGATAGCTGATTTCATAAGGAGTAACTTAAGCTACTTAAACATAAAAACCCTAACACGCGAACGAAGTCGCGGGGAACAGCTAGTTTAAATATAAGAACTTTATTTTCAGCAGCATTGTTTACCGAGTTACGGTCTAATCAGTCGCGTGTAATGGGTGGATAGTTATAAAATGATGCATGAAACGTATCGAACGGAAATTAATGATAGGAAGAATATGTGATTGAGAGTGATTGAATCAAATCGAATGAGTGAGTCTGAGATAAGGTAAACTGAATAATTATTAATAGGTTGAAGTTAAGACGCAACTGGGTGCAAGCGACGAAGCTGAGTGCAAGTTGTTAATTTGTAAATTAGAAAAAAAAAATACAAAAGCCGAAAAAATTGTTTTTTTTTTTTCTATTATCATACTTTGTAATATGTATCATACTATATATGCTGTATTTTGTATAATACATACTGGAAAACTGTCCCTCATTAAGTATGATATAGTGATGCGACTTCCACTATTATTTGAATCTTAATACAGTTTTTAAAATGTATTAAAATTAATAACCATATATTAATAGGTTGAGCTTAAGACGCAACTGGGTGCAAGCGACGAAGCTGAGTGCATGTTGTTAATTTGTAAATTAGAAAAAAAAATACAAAAGCCGAAAAAATTGTTTTTTTTTCTATTATCATACTTTGTAATATGTATCAAACTATATAATATGCTGTATTTTGTATAATACATACTGGAAAAAGTCATTAAGTATGATATAGTGATGCGACTTCCACTATTATTTGAATCTTAATACAGTTTTTAAAATGTATTAAAATTAATAACCATATATTAAAAACGTAAAAAAATATTACTACTAACATTGAGTTATATGTACTACGTACTAGAGAAGCCATTCCAAACAAAAATTGTGCGCTACTCTATGTCTTCGCGCATGCGCGGGAGATAGTAGAGTTGCGTATGCGCGAAGACTTTAATTTAATATAAAATAAGATATTAATATAAAATAAATATAAGAATTTAATATAAAATACTCTTATTTTAATCTAAAAAAATATTTCTAAATAAAATATAATAATAGATAATTATCTTATGGAATTCACAAATCTTCAATTTACGCAATATTTAGTTTAGTGTACGGATTGCAGTACAGTTCAGATGGACATAGTGAATGTTCGGAATGCGAAATCTAGTGCGTAGTACATATATATCGATGACTACTAATAAATCTTTGTTTTTCTCTTATCAAATGCTCATATGATGTAAATTAATGTTATTATAATTTCGCAACAATTCTGGCTAATAGACTTCTGCATATTTTCGTTATACAATTTTTTATTTATGCGAAATTAGATCGCGTTATAAAAATAATTATAATATATACATTTACATACACAAAACATTGTCTTTGATTTTCTTTTCAAGAATTATGAAAAATCATATAATAACGAATCTGTTTTTGTATGTGAATATTTTTGAATCCAATACAACTACTGAATTAAACTGAAAAGAAACTTTAATAATAAACATGTCTATAATTAATTAAATATTAAGTACTTATGTATTGTATTATAAATCTTATAATTATGGCAGCGGAACAAAGTATACCAAAATTTGCATAAGATCAAGTAATGAAAAATGTAACTCAATTGACTCAATTGGTTGCGGGTCCATACGGCACGGACTTTGTACAGACTTAAGTTGGTGAAAATATAGCGTGTGGACGTGAAGTCTCTATGTATATATCTCTATCAATGTCGATGTATTTTTGTATTCGCATCAAAAAATAATCGCAAAGATGACGACTTTTGCTCGAGGCAACTTCTCTGTAACTGGTTAATTTGCAATTTGCATACCAATGAGATTGAGATCTAAAGAACTTTTGTCTTTTCTGTACTGAGTCGGTGACGTGGCTCAACCATACTTGTCCGCACAACAGTATGCACAGCGTTTTATGTCTGTGTCATGTGGATCCGCTATACTGGGAACTCGACAGCTACCTGGCAGGGCGTGATAGTGGTAGTCAAAATGAATTACCGCGATGACAATTTATTACAAGGAAGTTTAAACACGTGCTTACGCAGCGATAGTCAAAACTAACTAACTAACGAGCGTCCCTACGACTCAATTTAAAATGGCCGTGTGCTTTTTGAATAGTTGTTTGAAAGAAAGAAAAGAAAAAGAAAAAAAAATTAAAACCGGTAATTTTTTATTGTGAATATTTTTTGTACTTTTTATGATTGTATTCGCTTGGTTGAAGCTTCAAGAAAATAAATCAACTTAAAAGAAAGCATTCAAAAAATGGTCTTATTTTTATTTAGAATTTAATACGAAATTATGGGAGATTATTGAAAAATCTTTAAAATCCTTATATCTCAAGAACTGTTCACTTTTGGCCATACATAAAGGGGATCAAATTTGTAGCATTTCAACACCCCTATCACGCCCTGCCAGGACGCTGTTGAGTTCCCAGTAATCCTGTAGTGTTTGAACATAGAATTTCTTTTGACAAATGGTGCGATGTTTACTAAATATAAAATACTATCATTATTATATCAAAGGGAAAAGAACTACATACTTGAAAAGATTGACTCTAATACTTTTCCTACTTGTTACGTTCTCTCACAAATTTCTCGTGTTAAACAATCCACATACTAAATACTAAAAGTACTCTTTTATAGATAAGTAAAGTTTTTTAACGAGAAAATATTTCGTTTTAATAATCTAACTAATATGCTGTTAAAGACACAAAGAAATAACGTAAGGAAATAACGATAAAAATATGGTTACAAATGGCATCAATAATAATAATTGATATTAATTTGGAAAGCAGCGCCTTTCAACAACTGTAGCACAATCGACTCTAGACATTTCTCTAAATATTCGTGATAAATTGACAAGCATATTAACATCGTTATTCCTACACAGCCAAAGATTAAGAATGTTCTCGGTTGGGGAACAAGTATTAGAGAAATAGTAGTAGTACGAAGTTATTTTCAATTTCTCAGCGAGCAACCTCCAATCATTGCCTTTCGACGATTGCGAATCGAGAAGTTTACACAATATCACTCTATCCGATTTCGTCAGTACGTTACATCTATAATAATTATTGTCAATATGAAAATTATTCTTTAGAATGCTATTATTCTTATAGACAAAATCATAAAGACCTTCTTTTTTCGAGAGTGACGAATAGTTAAAAGGATTTTCTACAATGTTTACAGTGTAACCTTTTTCCAAACCTGAATAACTAAAACGTTTATTGCAATTAAAGTTTGAATTCAAATCGTTCGTTTTAACATTGAAACTAATTGAACTCGATTGTTTCTGCTTTTGAAAGATAGAAATATTTAATTCTAGACAGTTAATTGAGTCTAGCTGCTGCAGAACGAATACATATTGTAATGAACGTACAGTCATATTCCATATGTGGGAGTAGGATAGTTCCTGATACGTACCGCCAGTCTGTATCTTCCATCCAACACCAACGTCTCTAATATTCAGACACAGATCGGAAGCGTTTTCTTGAAAACAAATCACCTTTGGCTCGCAAACCAAATAACCACCAGAGCGCCTTTCGCTTTCAACACAATCGTTAAAAGAGAAAGGAGTGTCATTGAACACGTGAATGTTTAAATTATAAAAGCTATCTTCGGTTCTCTTTCCGATGAATAGCCCCAATCGCAACAACTTTGCATCGAGGCCGTTGAAACTTTGTCCAATCAAAACGAAATCCGTCAAGAATTCACACACTAAATAAACTTTGGCGGGGTCGACTTGCGCGAATATAGGTGTACCGGGCGTTTCTTGGCCGAGTGTCAAAACTTTTCTCCACTCTCGCGAACTGGTATCTTCGGGCCTCTGCAAGATCGATAGCTGCCAGCTGGTGTTCTTTAGAGATGCACAATGAGGAAACGATAGAATAACTCCCTTGCGGAAATGGAAATTTTTCGGACAACATCGAACGACCGGACTCAATTGCGTCTCACCTGTTAACCAAAATTTTAAAATTCATTACACAAATTGTTAGGTTAAATGATAAACATATTTATATAACTTTTACTTCAAATTATCTAAATCAGGATGACAATTGGACATTTCACTCTATAAAAAAGTGTGTAGTGTAGGTATGGAAATTTACAATGCTGTGTTAGTCGCTACCTGAATGTATAATAGTGAAAATTGAATGTGGCAGAAGAAGCAGGAGAGTAAAATTAATTTTAAATTTGACTAAAAATTATTACTTTGCGTGCATCCGCTAGATAAAATAAAGCGATAAAATCTAGCGGATGCACGCAAAGTAATTTTTTGTCAAATTTAATATAATGGACTTCCGCAAAGTAACGCCTGATTCTATTAATTATCCTAAAATTAATTTTGCAGAAAAAGGGTCATTAAAAAGTATGTTATGTCCGTCTCTGAATAGTAGCGTGAGTAATTATGTTACATAAGAGAATTGTGGTTTAAAGGAGATGTTGTGACTAGGATTATGAAAAGAATGATTCGGTTACTTGGACCCATAGAAAGAATAAGTACGGAAAGAGTGACAAAGCAAATTTATCCTACAGAAGTGAATAGCAGAGTCGGCAAGGGATGCTAAGGGCATCATGGGCGAAGTTAAGAGTACCTTAATCGACAAAAACGTATACGTATGTACTACGTAGATACATGGTCGTAAAAGAAGCAACAGAAGTATGTCGGGATCATGCCAAATGGAAATCTTTTCATTCTATATTTTATATACAAGGTTCAATAAAGCATTAATGAATAAATATTTCGTCAGATTATCACTACATCTAGCGGGGGGACACCCAAAACTTTTTTTTTCTCCATCGATTATTAGTTTTTTGACGTATATGGTCAGTTCATTGGCAATTCAGCCTACAGCTCGATAGGGCTAAGTCAGTTACTTTTATTCTTCTGTAGATATTTCGTTACGAATTTCATTAAACAGAGAACCCTGAGCATATTCCTCTTCATAACTTATGGAGTTGAGTTTGAGTTTCCTCTCTTACGGCCAGCAGTGCGACATACGACCACTGGCAACACGCACTGGTTATACAAAATTTATGTTATTTAACTAAGTGATTTTAATTTAGGGGTTTGAACTTGGTTAAGAATGAAAATATATACTTCGTTTTAGGTCAAATCATGGCATTTAAAATATAAGTCAAAGCGTCTAAGCATTCTAAGCACATTAAAAATAAGTATATAGATAATGACCGGGGTCTTTTTAATTATTGCAAAGTCATAAATGTTTTCGATAAATTTAAATTTAATATACTGACTGAAGTAAATAATTCAGAATACCTAGTTCTTAGAAAACGACCTGTAAATCTACGAAATATAACTTATAAATCCAACATGTATGTACTTCCGAAAACTAAAAATTTCTATGGAGCAAGAAAGTTGGCCCATCTTGTAACTACTTTTATTAATGCCTTGCCACTAGAATTACAAAACACATACGGTAAATCAAAACTGTTTAAAAGTAAACTTAAATCATATTTGATAAAAATAACCATACTTATTGTAGTAAGTACTTCATACTGGATTATTGTGATTTAATATTAATACATCTTTGTTTTTATAAGACGACTCTCTAGTGTAGATAAACCCCTAGAGGTTTATATGCTAGTATTGTACTGGATAATGTAACATAATTATGATTTATAAATAAAATAAAAAATCTATGTACAGCCCCAGCCAGTTATACAAGTACCGTGTAACTAAACAATAGACAACGAGAAACTTTAACAGTAAGTCGCAACTGTTCCAACTTATTGGCCCCCTTAGGACATATTTTTAAAACACTGTAACAGCAAACGATGGAACGTTTTCTATTAATAATTTCTACTATACTAGGGCAATGTTTTTATATATCAAAGGATTGTAATACTGTTTCATAAAAATAAAAATCCATATATAAAATAAAATACATCTCTTCACATTTATTTCTTTGATAGGATATCATTAATTTTTGTAAATAAAATAGTTTAATAATTTTATTAATGTAAATAAATACATGACTATCGATGTTTTTTTTTTTCATGCGTTTACGCTTTGTTATCTTATGTCTTTTTTATTTGTTTATTTATTTTTATTTTATAACATTTTTTTATAGGATAGGGTTACAAACGATCACACAGTCCATCTGTTGGTAAGTAGTTGCTATCCTCAATAAAGAATCAAAATACAGATGCGTTGTCACCCGTGAGGACTTAGTCGGAATGCCTATTTTCCAGTAATAAGAACCGGAGACCGGTTCTCTACACTCACCTTACAAAACACAGCAGTGTTAAGCTGCTATTTTTCGGTGATATTTTGTGAGAGCGTGGTCCTTCCCCGGTCGAGCCGACCCATTCGTGCTACAACTATACTACTAATATGGCTGCAGCATGGCTTTATCTCGCAAAAGTAGCCTGACCTACGTACCATAAACTTTTTAAATAAATTAATCGATTTTCTGGCCCCTGAGCTGGTATAACTTTGTTTTAGGAACCAGTTCCTCCCCTTAAAGTAAACCTAGTCAAAAGCATATAATTTTTATTTTGACAACGTACGAGTATATTGATAATTCGTAGTTTACGGATATTTTCTTTTTATCGCCATCATAATCATTACTGCCAATGAAAACTCCACTGCTGAACATAAGCCTCTCACACAGGTTGCCTTAACGTTACGTAGGATACGGGGAGATTTAACTGTAGTTGCCACGCTTGGCGAGTAAGGTGACAATAACAGTTTTTCATTATTTCCAGTCTTCTGTCTCAGTTTCCCTGTGTTGACTCTTACGTCACCCAGAGGATAATAAAATGAGATAGTGAATATTCTTATGCCGGAACTACACATCACCCCTGATTTTTCGTTACAAAAATGATCTAATCTTGATGCGAATATCATGTTTCCAACACACAAAAAATTCCATAGGTTTTTGATGAGTTAGTCAGTGAATTGAGCGTTAAAGATGACACTTTCAAGATCTTAATAACTCAAGAACTATCGAAGGTTTATTTATGGGATTGGTACTCTAGGATTTTTGGCACTCAAGGGGTCCTTATTAGATGTTAAAATTTACAAGTATGTAGGTTTAATAGTTTTTTAAGGGGTTCGAAAGTAGCGTGACTCTACCACGTTAAAACGTGATAGAGCCATGCTGCAGCTATATTAATAGTATAGTTGTAGCACGAATGGGTCGACTCGACCGGGGAAGGACCACGCCCTCACAGAATACCAGCGTCAAATAGCAGCTTAATACTGCTGTGTTTCGTATGGTGAGTGTAGAGAACCGGATACCCTTTTTACTGGAAAAGAGGCATTCCATCTTAGTCTTCACGGTTGACAACGCATCTGCATTTTAATTCGAAAACGAAAGTAGATGTAGATGTCTATGGGCCACAGAAACCACTTACCATCAGGTGGACTGTGTGCTCGTTTGTCATCCGTATTCTATAAAAAAAAATGCTCCAAATGGTTCGTGTAACACTGCCGGGGCGTCGCACTTTTATTTTGCAAACTTGACTGACAGACTGCCTAGGTTATTAATATGTATCATTTATGATTTCTTGTTTTTCGTAGAAAATAATTTTAAGTTTATTTTGCTTGTGCCTGTTCAATCACAAAGTCGCTCGACAAACACAAAATATTATTAAATCGCAACTACACCACAATGCAACGTCATATTGTATTCCAACGTTCTCATTCCGACTGTTGCAAAATGGAACGCAGCCGCCATTGATGGAAGTCGAGTCAAAACAACACATATTTGTTCTACAAGTGCAGACCCCTGAGCAAACACTTGTCGTAGAGTGCACGCTACCATTCACTTCTCAAATGAAAAGACTATATAAACGGGTGCCCGCGATCGTTGCCTTTGCAAAAGCTTTGATATGATTGTATACTTTGGATCTGAAATCAGTGAATGGCTGACTTAAATTCATTGACAAGTCACAGGTCCGGATACTTCAATAATATACGAAATGGTGGCGGCGTAAAAGAATCCATCAACCCATCAGATTCCATTGATTTTATAAGAGACTATGAGCCATGGTAGCTTACGGGGTAAGCACTTGCTGTAAATATCACAGTACGCGAGTAACCCTAGTTCGAACCCCGCTGACACCAATTAAATTGTTAATTACAATTTAAAGTGCTGATTTACCACGTGCTTTAGGGTAAGGGATTTACGTGGTAGAGCCATACTACAGCTGCATATTACTGGTATAGTTGTAGCAGGAATGGGTCGGCTCGACCGGGGAAAGACCACGCTCTCACAGAATACCAGCCTAAAATAGCAGCTTAACGCTGCTGTGCTTCGTATGGTAAGTGTAGAGATCCGGAGACTGTTTTCACTGGTAACGAGGCATTGCATTTTGATTCGACATTGAGGAAAGATGTATATGTGGGCCACAGTAACCACTTACCATCAGGTGGACTGTGTGCTCGTTTGTTACCCTTATCCTATAAAAGAAAGTAGGCAAACATCATGAGGTCTTAAAAATTAAATTAAATATTTCGAAGCCCACCAACACGCATTGGGGCAGCGCGGTGGACTTTTTTTAGCCCTAAAACCTTCTCAGAAGGCAGTGGGACGCAGTAGGCTGTAAATTTATAATGATTTCTTATATTTACGCGAACACTACACATTTTAAATAAAACTAATTTTACGGATTCTATCGCGTATATTAACTTATTTTTATATATTCCCGACGTTTCGGGTGCTTTCCAGCACCCGTGGTCACGGGGGACTGAGTTGTTTGACGTCCTGCTGTCATAGTTAGCCCGGCTACCTTCAGTTTTTTTTTTTTTTTTTTTAAAAACTGAAGGTAGCCGGGCTAACTATGACAGCAGGACGTCAAACAACTCAGTCCCCCGTGACCACGGGTGCTGGAAAGCACCCGAAACGTCGGGAATATATAAAAATAAGTTAATATACGCGATAGAATCCGTAAAATTAGTTTTATTTAAAATCTGTAAATTTATAAGAGACGACTATGGGATATGTAAAATGTATATATAGTTTCTGATAGGTGACGGTATATCTCGTTTAAACCAGGTAATACAATACCCATAACGACGACGGGAGCAGGGTCAAAGGCATAAAACGTCTGTTATTGAGGTTATCAATTTGCCTGACAAGCATGACGATTAAGGTAAAATACTCCTACAACGTACACCGTTTTAGTAGTACAATTGTAGCACGAATAGGTCGGCTCGACCGGGGAAGGACCACGCTCTCACAGAATACCAGCGTAAAATAGCAACTTAACGCTGCTGTGTTTCGTTTGGTGAGTGTAGAGAACCGGAGACCCTTTTTACTGGAAAAGAGGCATTCCATCGTAGTCCTCACGGGTGATAACGCTTCTGTATTTTGATTCGCAAACGAGGATAGATGTAGATGTGTATGGGCCACAGCAACCACTTACCATCAGGTGAACTGTGTGCTCGTTTGTCACCCTATCCTATAAAAAAACAACGATAAAGAACCATAAGAATAGGCTTAAGAAGAAGATGTAATTTGGGTAATTTACCGCCATCAATCGGGATCTTTCTGGCATTTCCAATAGCCCCACACAGGTTTTACACTTGGTAGAGCCACACTGAAGCTATATTATGGTTTTAGCACGAATGGCTTGGCTCAACCAGGAAAGCACCACACTCTTACAGAATAACAGCGTAAAGCAGCAGCGTGCTGCTGCTGAGTTTCGTGTGTTAAGTGTAGAAAACTGAAGATCCTTTTTACTGGAAACGGGGCATTATTTTCGTCCTCAGGAGTGACAACATATCTGCATTTTGATTCTTAATAGAGGATAGATGTGGCAGTGGACTGTGTGCTCGTTTGTCACCTTGTTCTATAAAAAAGGGTAATAGATTCCCTACACGTACACGATTCGTCTACACGGCAGTATCTATATGCACGGAATATTATGTTTAGGTCAATTAGTACACATATAATATAAACATATCTTATATGTAAATACATATGTTAACATATATCTTATATATAGTATATTAGCTGACCAGGCAGACTTTGTTCTGCACTATCTGACGACTATTCTGCTATAAAAAATCCTTACATTCGTAATAAAAATATTGAGGGTCACTAATCGGGATAAAAACTATATTATCCTTCAAGTTGGACCAAACTGCACGGTGTGCAAAATTAGTTCAGTAGTTAGGGAGTTCATCTAGGACAAACATTGAATGTGAATTTTTATATATAAAAATAGAAAATTTTAAACGAATTGTTTTTTAAAAATATTCATTTTCAATAAAATACGTCGTTGTTTCTTACCTTCTTGCAATAGCGGCCTGTTCCATTCCTCGTCAGTAACTTCTAATGAAAATAATTCCTCGCTCTTATCAACCACACCATCAGGGACAAATAAGCTAACACCACACTTGTCTAGACTTAGCCAATCACCGTCACTTGTGACCATCTTCGATGTAGCTGTCTCCAAATAATTTATGCCCAGAAATTTAGAATCAACAGATGCGTTATTTTTTAAAGACGGTGATATTTCTACACTTTCATGACCATACGACGAACCGGCTGGAAAAGAATGCAACGTTAAAAGTAACTGTTAATATATAAAATAACATTTAAGCTTTATTTAAGCAGTATAAGTAGACTTTACAACAAACAAGAATTTCTATGCCATAGGCATCCACTTAGTTCACCAAATTTTTTCCAGTTAAAAGTGCCAGTATAATAAACAATCAAGAACTAAAACTAATTAGTTATCATATTTTTTATTAAATTTTTATTATCATTACTATAAATGTCATGATCATTATGTTGTATTTAAATCGTATGATCAAGTCATATAATTTCCTTGGCGTAAAGTCTGTTTATACTTTTGCGGTTTAACGCATAGTACAAAACTCACAGCTCAAAAAGCAGCTGGAGTCAGACCTATCTGACTCTACATTATCCTTGCAAGCGTAATTCCTTTCGCTGCCGTTACGATCAGTTCTTACCTCGTGGTCAATTGGTGAAATGTAGCTGCAAGTAAATAACAATGTTACATGAAATATGTTCACAAATTTAATAGTTGTTTTATTTTATAAAAATAAATCTTTCAGGCGAGGATCGAAATCTCGTTTTGCTCGCGTACTGTAAAATTTATGGTGTGCTCATAATCCATTAACTACAATTTAACTCGTTGTGCTTTATAGTATATAATAATTATGAGGACTAATTAATGGTATATCGAGGATAGGATAAGCCAATAGAAGAGAACATAAAGTACCTAAGAAGATAATAAACCTTGGCATCGCCATAATAATAATATTTTTTTATATTATTCTAAGCCAGCGCTTAACTACAATCCCACATGATGGTAAGTGGTGATGTAGCCTAAGATGGTGAAGCGCACTGACTTAACGAAAGCCTATTCACTCTTGCTGTGAAGACGTCCACATTGTAATCGGATCGAAACACAGATGCTGACAACTTATTCCACTCCTTTGCTGTACACAAGATGAGCAATGTAGCAACCGTTTGGTTCGAATGCGTAAGGCAACAACGAAGGTGGAGACTGGCCGAATGTCTATTTGTCCGATAGTGGAAGGGATAGGGAGGAATTAAATTATGCAATTGCTGCGCACACTCTCCGAAATGCATCCTGTAGAAAACAGAAAGGCTGGCTACTTTGCGCCTGTGTTCAAGACTAGTAAGATTGGTTTTAACCAAATTTGAGTCACCAATAAGCCTCTTACTACGTCTTTCCATTGAGTCCAAAGCTGCTAGTTGGCATTTTGCAGCACCAGCCCTTATCCATATATGGGCAGCAATATTCCATGCACGACCGGACTTGCGCTTTATATAAAGTAAGCAGCTTTTCCGGCGTGAAGTGTCGCCGCACCTTTGCAAGGACTCCTAGCTTCCTTGCAGCTGCTTTGGCTTTGGACTCAATCAACCGCCCGAAGTTCAAATTAGAGGATCTCAAGCCCCAACAACTGAAGGCGGTCGGTGTATTCTAGATATTTCGGAAAGAAGGAGCAATATGAGCTGGCTCCTTTTTGCAGTGAAGAGATACACTTGTGTTTTGGAGGCATTGAATTTCACAAGATTGGCATCGCCCAATGCGAAGACTGCCTGTAGTTTGAGATTCACATGCCCTATCATAGCGTCTCTTTCGGACTGGATTTGATCCCGACTGGCCCGATGACTTGGTGGGTATGTCTCCACAACTGTGTTATCGTCTGGATAGCCATAGATATCGAGCATAAGCAGATAATTAATATGCAGCAGGAAAAGAGTTACGGAGATAACGGACCCCTGCGGAATACCAGTGTTAATCGCCACAGGATTGGATGAACAGCCATCGACGACGATCCAGAGAGACCATTTACTCAGAAAGTCCTTTACCTAATCAATCAGACCAGAGGATAAGTCGTACGCTGGAAGCTAGCGTGCCAAACTCTGTCAAAGGCCTTCGGGACATTATGGGAAACAGCAAGTGCTTCCCCACTGTTCTCGAGTGCCTCCCACATACATGTGGAGCATACGTTAGAAGGTCCCTAGTTGACTGATTTCGGCGAAACCCGTATTAGCGGTCACTAAGGAGGTTATTATGTTTTAGGTATGCCATTAAGTGGGCGTTTATTATACGCTCCATAATCTTGCAGAAGATGGAGGTAATTGAGATTGGCTGATAATTGGCAGGGTCGTCAGGGCTGCCTGTTTTTGGAACAGGCTTTTTGGAACATTGACCAGCTTCCAGGATTTTGGCACTATTCTAGTCCTAAATGAGAGGTGTAACAAGCGTTTCAGCACATGAGACAACTCAGACGCACAAGACTTTAGAACTCTAGCCGATATACCATCTGGTCCACTAGCTCTATTCACGTCTAAACACCGCAAGGTTTTAAGAACCTCCTTATTATATTCGAACTTTCGACATAGAGGTCCCACAGTGAGGTAATTCAGGTGGAACGTTGTTGCCACTATCCAGACGCGAATTGTAGGCAAAGAGAGACGCGAACAAGTCCGCTTTGTCTTTAGCTGTATGCGTCAGTGAGCCACCAGTTTTTACTAGCGGAGGCATTGTAGGCCGACTGAAATTTGTCTGAAATTTGTCGACCACTTTTGTTAGAGATTAAAAAGCTCTAGTGCCGAATGGCCTGGCAGAAAGTTTTGCGCCAATATGTTTAATGCGATCTAGACTAGCTTTCCGTAATGTTTTTTGTAGGACTTGGCGGCCCGGTTGAAAGTTCTCTTCTTGGAGATAATATCTGGCTTTGCGGCTTTTGCGGTTTCGAGCTTTGCGGTTTCGAGCGTCAACCCAGGATAGGTACGCTAAATGCCTGCGCTTTTTAGCTTGGGCGCATGCAGTGTTAAACCATGGGCGAGCTATGCTACCGGTGGGAGCGTTATAGAAGAGGATAAAATACTTCATAACTTGACGCAACACATCAGTTATCGCATCCGCGCAGCTCGACAGATCCGCAGAAGAGAAACAGACCTCCCGCCAAGGATAGGATACAAAAAATTCTCGCGTTTTATTCCAATCAGCTGACTTATACCGCCGTATTCATCGAACACCTTGGCCCTCGTAATCAGGTAGAGAATATGACGATACAGATTTCACCAGGCAGTGGTTAGATGTACCCGTAGGGGAGGTAACTTGTACTTCATGCCTATCTGGTTGCGTAATCAGCAGAAGGTTCAAGCAATTGGCTAGGGTACCTACCCTAGTCACTTCCTTTACCAGCTGAGAAATACCTAGCGGCAAGGCAAAATCCCACGCTTCTCTCCTAGCATGGTTGGTCTTCTGGTTAGGGAACAACCAGTCTTGGTGACAGGCGTTAAAGTTCCCCAGAAAGACTAGCCATGCAGAAGGATACCGATTTAGGGCCACATAAGCAGCCTCACGAAATTGATCAAATAGTCGTGTTGTCTCCTGGTTACCGCTGTGCGAACGATAGAACGCTTGCCGTGTAGTGGCGGTTAAGAATATCCACTACCCCATATCTTCCCGTGGGTGTCGTAAAAGGCGACAAAGGGAAACAGGCAGGAGATGGGCAGCAGCATCTTCCTGGTAACGACAAAATACAATAAAAAACTGCGGTTGCCAACCCGCTCGCCAAGCGTGGCAACTATGGCAATATACCCCCCATAATGAAAGTAACGAAGAGACGGCCCCCAGTCCCCGGCGGCCCCGCTATTCCTGGCTACGGTGGCGACCATGGTAACGGCGGGGCAGGGGGTGCTAAGAATCTCCGGTGGAGGTTCGGTTGCCACCTACAACGACTCGACCTGGCAACATACAACGCACGCACCCTGAGGACTGACGAGAAGATTGTGGAGCTGGAAGAAGAGATAGACAAGTTACGCTGGCATATTATAGGATTATCCGAAGTCCGAAGAGAGGGGGAGGACACGGTAATCCTCGAATCCGGCAACTTGCTCTATCACCGGGAGGGCGACCATCTGTCCCAAGGAGGTGTCGGATTTATCGTCCACAAGTCTCTCGTTAACAACGTTGTAAAGATTGAGAGTGTGTCGACGAGGGTTGCGTACCTTATACTCAGAATCACCAAACGGTATTCGCTGAAGGTCATACAGGTTTACGCACCAACCTCGGCACACCCCGATCAGGAGGTGGAGGAAATGTATGAGGATATCTCTAGAGCCATGCATTCCTCCAAAACCCAATATACGGTGTTAATGGGAGACTTCAATGCAAAACTAGGCACAAGAGAGAACGGTGAGCTGAAAGTGGGGAAATTTGGAATAGGGCAACGGAACCCAAGGGGCCAGCAGTTGGCCGACTTCATGGAGAAAGAGGGACTCTTTATGATGAACTCTTTCTTCCAGAAGCGGCCCCACAGGAAGTGGACCTGGTCGAGCCCCGACGGTTCGACAAAAAATGAGATTGACTTCATTATGACGACCAGACGACAACTGTTCAGTGATGTCTCAGTGATCGCGAGGGTGAAAACCGGCAGCGATCACCGAATGGTTAGAGGCACACTGAACCTAAACGTTAAGTTGGAGAGGTCTCGTCTAATGAAGTCAACGCTCCGTCCCCCTCGTGCTCTAATCCAAAGTCCCGAAACCTTTCAGCTCGAGTTGCAAAACCGTTTTCAGTGCCTAGAAGACTGCAATGAAGTGGACGATTTGAATGACAAGCTCGTGGAAACTGTCCATGCGGTCGGAGCTAAGTTCTGCAAGACCCGCCGCAGAAGAACACAAAAACTCTCCGATCACACTCTTAATCTCATGGCTGTTAGACGGGAGATGAAGCTACATTCTTCAACAGATTTGACAGCATACAGGCAACTGAACAGACAGATCTCCAAATGCATGCGGCGGGACTTACGCAACTTCAATACAGCTCGTATTGAAGAAGCGATCGAGCGGAACCAAGGCTCCAAAGTCTTGCCAGAGATCTGTCTGCCAGAAAGAGCCAACTGTCAAAGCTGAAGACCGAATGTGGCAGCATCGTTTCCGGGGCACCTGAGATTTTGAGTGAGATTGAGAGGTTCTATGGGCAGCTGTACACGTCATCGTTGGAGCCACACGCAAGTGTGAGTAACGATCCAAGAGCGAGTCTTATCCGACATTATTCCGATGATATCCCGGACGTCAGTCTGAGCGAGATTAGAATGGCTCTCCAGCACCTTAAAAACGGCAAGGCCCCAGGCCAGGATGGAATTACAGCGGAGCTTCTGAAAGCGGGTGGAAAACCGGTACTTGAAGTCCTTCAGAAGCTCTTTAATTCCGTCCTCCATGGTGGCATTATACCGGAGGCGTGGAGCAGAAGTGCGGTGGTCTTGTTCTTCAAGAAAGGCGACAACGCTCTCTTGAAGAACTACAGACCGATTTCCCTTCTGAGCCGCGTCTACGTGCTGTTTTCGAGAGTCATTACGAATCGTCTCGCGCGCAGACTTGACGACTTCCAGCCTCCCGAACAAGCCGGTTTCCGAAAAGGCTTTAGCACCATAGACCACATACATACCCTTCGGCAAATTGTACAGAAGTCCGAGGAGTACAATTTGCCACTATGTCTGGCGTATGTGGACTATGAGAAAGCCTTTGATTCCGTCGAAATTTGGGCGGTGCTGCAGTCCCTTCAGCGATGCCAAGTTGACTGTCGGTATATCGAAGTGTTGAAGTGCTTGTACAGTAGGGCTACGATGGCTATCCGAGTACAGAACCAGAGTACGAAACCTATCCAATTGCAGAGAGGTGTAAGACAGGGTGACGTCATATCCCCGAAACTCTTCACCGCTGCATTGGAAGATGTTTTCAAGCTTCTGGACTGGAAAGGATACGGTATCAACATCAATGGCGAGTACATCACTCACCTTCGATTTGCCGACGATATAGTCCTTATGGCAGAATCGCTGGAGGACCTAAGCACTATGCTCAATGACCTCAATAGTGTTTCCCAACGGATAGGTCTTAAGATGAACATGGACAAAACAAAGATCATGTTTAATGTCCATGTCACACCTATGCCGGTAGTTGTTGGGAACACTAAGCTCGAAGTTGTTGACGAGTATGTTTACCTGGGACAAATAGTCCGACTAGGTAAGTCCAACTTCGACCGAGAGGTCAATCGACGGATTCAACTCGGTTGGGCAGCGTTCGGGAAATTACGGCACATCTTCTCGTCAGGTATACCTCAAAACTTGAAAACGAGACTGTACACCCAGTGCGTGTTGCCAGTGATGACATACGGAACTGAGACGTGGTCCTTCACTGCTGGCCGGATGAGGAAGCTCAAGGTCGCTCAGCGAGCTATGGAGAGGGCTATGCTCGAAGTTTCTCTGCGTGATAAACTCAGAAATGAGGATATCCGCAGTAGAACCAGAGTGACCGACATAGCCCAACGGATTAGTAAGCTGAAGTGGCAATGGGCCGGCCATATAGCTCGAAGAACCGACAACCGATGGGGAAGAAAGGTTCTCGAGTGGCAGCCTCGTACCGGCAGGCGAAGTGTAGGGCGTCCCCCCACTAGATGGAGTGACGACCTGGTAAGATTTGCAGGAAGTCGATGGATGCAGGTGGCTCAGGACCGTGCTTTGTGGCATTCTTTGGGGGAGGCCTATGTTCAGCAGTGGACTTGTGAAGGGCTGTAATGATGATGATGATGAACGATAGACACAGGTATAAGGGATCAGTACCTGTATCTACCATCACCCAGATTGTCGAAAAAGTTGGGTTTCAAGATGATGGAGACACTGGAAGCAGATGTCATTGCAGACGTACACACAGGCTCCGATACGTAGATATAATTTGTGCTCCAGGGAAAATCCAGGATAGGCAAGAAACGCCGCATTCAATGGAATTCCAATTTGTGTCTCTGTCAAGAAAAGTAGGTGCGGCTTAGCAGTCGCAAGATGGTAATGGACAACCTGAGATTAGAGTGCAATCCTTGAATATTATTGAGGTGCACTTTTAATGAGAGGACGTGCAACCGCTGTTTTGCCATACTTTTCTTTTAAGGTACCTACATGTTGGGAGTAAGAGTGAATACGTATGGGGAATGGCAGTTGAACGAGGCGTTGCATTAAGAACCAAACGAAATTATCAGAGTGACTACGCCCAAGGGCAAATTAATCTGGAGACTGCGGGGCCGCCCTAAATCCCCCCCCCCCGCTCCGGAAATCGCCCTCGGGTCCTCTCGCTCTGTCGCTAACCGGCACGAAGGAGTTACTCTGGGATTTTCGCTAGTTGACGGGGCAGCGATTCATGAGTAGCTAATTCATTAATTGGGTCCACAACTACCTACGGTCGGCCAGCGGAACACCGTGCTTCCGCTACCCACCATGACCAAGCACCCAACACAGCAACAACTGTCGCCTCGAACTCGCTTCACACACACAACGCTACAGTTCAGACCCATTTTCCATATGGTTTCACCAAGCATCATGCCGGAACACGACAACGTCATTTGGCGACAAGACTTTGCTTTGATGGGTGGTAACCGAAAAGCCAGAGGCCGAAACCTACCACCGGAATTGCTGCTGCTTGTTTTGTACTACCCGGGAGACACGTGTAGAGAGTCAAATTTCAAATATTTCCTAAGGACGCGAGCAGCTTCGTCCCTAGATTGGTACACTTGGAGCTCTCCCTTTGTAGTTAATATTTGCTGTAATCGCCACAATTGGGAACCGAATAGGTGATCAAACTACTATGCACGCATGATAAGAATAGAACTGCCAAACCTAAGGGGTTAAAGCTAAAAGGGTTGAAGGTAGAAGCGGTTACAAAGATAGCTATAGCGCGCGACAGCCACTTAAGTCGGTGGTAGACACTTGCAGTCGTTGGCCACTACTTTATTAACACATTGCTTGCAGTATCATAATAGAGTACGACGTAGAAGGTTTAACCTACTAATTTCAATCAACAACGTGCATGCGTTGCCTTCGATTCGAGTGCGTTGACTGCGAAGGCAGGGAGGGTGAGGTATCAGGTGAGTGGCGTGTGTCAGCATTTTGTGTCGGCATTTAGTGGCTGTTTCTGGTCACAAGAAGCGAGCAGCGTCAATTTGAGGCGCATTGCGACCACCGGCATCAACCGTGTGCGGCGAGTCCATAAAAATATATGGAAACTACAGAAAATACGTCGGTGGTGGCATTTTGTCAGTTCATTCTGCCATCTGTCAGTTGCCACCGAATTTCCTAGTACTTTTTCTAAATCGAACCTTACACAATGATCACAGACGTATGTTTAAAATTGTGAGCGATCTATGTTTTAACAGAAAAAATTTAAGAGATCCATTCAAAGAGAAGTGACAATCATGTATCATTTATTGTCTTGATTTTAGTAATAGAATTAAATACTTTGTCCTCAACTTCCTCAACTTTGTCTGCAACGCTTGGTAAGCATTTGTGGCAAATGATTCCTACACTAACAGCGACCTGTGTCTAGCAGTGGACTGTTATAAACTGGTAAAAACGAATAACAGGAATGAATATAAAAGCAAAACAAATACATTCGCTTTTATCAAAGAATTATAAGGCTACAAATATATAAAAGAACTATCAACGGATCATAAACAGATCGACATAAAATTAAACATTAAAAATAAAGTCTGACAACAGCAGCATTCGTGATTTCAATTTCAAAAGCGCTTGTTTAAGTTTAAACAACCATTTCATTAACATTTAAACAAGTTGCGATAAAATGAATCCCTCATTACGTTGCATTGAAACACAAGCTCAATCCAGTGGTTGTTACACCGAAGATCCGTATCTAGGCTATGAATGCGATGCATTTAGTAATGTTGGAATTAATTACAAATATGGACTATCGGTGTCTGATCTTCATTTACATATGGAAACATGAATATTGAGTGACATTTCAATTGGCTATTCGAGTATCAAGATCGATACATAATGTAAAATTTTCAATTGGATTTGTCTATTACTTTTTGATCTATATCTAAATCGTAAATATAAAAGACAATAATATAATTTGATATCTTACTGCGAGTAATTGTTTAAGTGAGTGTTTTTAAATATAATATTTACCATGTAGTGGTGGTGTAAGCAAATCCACCACACCATACCGTTCCGTAGGCATCGTAAGAGGCGACAGCGGAAAACAAACCAGGAGATGTTTTATTTTATATTTTTTTTTAATAGAAAAAAAAAGAATAAAAAGCCAGGAGATGGGCAGTACCGTATTACTAATAACAACTAAACTAAAATAAGCCTGGACGTAATAAATGAATTTAATGCTTCCGTTATTTATTTATTCTTTATTATACTCATCCTTAAACTAAGAAATGGTAGAATGTATTCATATAAAACATAAGCAATTATAATTATTTGATATACACCCAATATACATACATTGAATAACATCGGCTTGCTAACAAAGAACGTGTTTATAATGTCTTTCAGAACGAATCTCGGTCGCGGCGGTCAGTCTCTACGCACTAGCTATCTATCTACGCACAGGCACAGAGCTCAATCCAGTGGTTGTTACACCGAAGATCCGTATCTGAGCTATGGATTCCGATGCATTTAGTAATGTTGGAATTAATTGCAAATATGGACTATCGGTGTCCGATCTTCATTTACATATGGAAACATGAAGCATTCTCTCACTCTCATAATCCCATACGTTGAAAATATCCTACACGACCGGAGGGAAATCAAGCGCAGTACCTATGGTTTTATGTGCTTTCTAGGGCAGAGGGGGTGAAACTCCGTAAACTTCCTGGCTCCGGGCTCCTACTGAGTATTTCATGACTGACTTTTTTTGGCCTGACCCGGGATTTCAACCTAGGACGTCATGATCAGCAACCGAGTTTATGACAAATAGACCAATAAGGCATCATAGTTAATACTTATAAGCTACTTAGTTAAAGGCTCATCATACATCATAATCGGTTCTTTTTAATTCCAAATTACAGTACAGTAAATAGAACAAGATAGATAGCGATGTCTAGAATTTGTAAAATAAATATGCGTATATCATATAGTTTAAAGTACTGGAAGCAACTATTTTAGTAAACTTTATTTTACTAAATAATGCTGTTCTTTGCATTTGTACCTGTCTGTGTGTGACAAGCACTTCTTCTCGAATGTGTTTCTTTCTTTCTAAATGTTTGGTATCTGATAATTCCAGTAAATCAACGCTACTTACCTATTAGCAAGCTGCGGCACCTCATACAGGTGCTCTTGTCGTGCGTTACTTGAAGCACCTGTATGTCGACGATTTCTTCTCGAGTCAATTGTATGAAACTCCTCATGTATCGTTAAATCTGGTTGGTTGGTCAGAGTCCTCTTTAAGACGCTACCAAAGTATTGAGTACCTTTGTAAAAACAATCAATATTACTACATTACATTGATTTTAAATAATTTATTTTCGTATAATACAATTACAAGTTAGAACATATGCAAAACTTTTAAACATTACTAAACAAGTATTTGCTATTTAATACAAATAACCACAAACATGTTGATTTTCTTAGATGTGCGTAAGCTTTAATTATGAATTGAGCAAATTTGTTTATAAACAGGCACGTTTTTTTAAATTTTACAAAAAATTAAAACTAGTCTCGAAATTTTTAAGTCTCTCTTGTTAAGTTGAATAAAATATGTATAATTTAGTGAATACCTGGAGGTGGCTTTACGTAAGGAGAATTTTCAGCCATCTTAAACTTCATGTACTTTATTCCCAATATGACGACAATTATAAATATTAGAAATGCAATGGACAGAGCAATAAATAGAGGCCAGTATGACGACCCTGTAAATAAAATATTATAATTATTTACCGTTACAGCCTATTAAAGTCCACTGTTTTATAGGTCTCCCCATAGACTATCTCATAGGGTGGATGTTTGTCATATTTGCCACGCTTGGCAAGCGGATTGGCAACCGCAGTTTTTTTTATTTATAGTCTTTACTCGTTATTACGAAGACGCTGATGCCCATAACCTATTTGTTCTATCTGTCGCCGCTTACAAAACCCACGTGAAGATATGGGGTAGTCGATATTCTTACCCCGCTCTACATGGTAAATTTTAATTATTTGGCCATTTTACATACATATATATATAATCACACCTCTTTCCCGTAGGGGTAGGCAGAGACCACTTCTTTCCATTTGCTACGATCCTTACATACTAGTTTCGCTTCGTCCACTTTCATTATTACCTTCATACATGCTCTTCGGTTTAGGGTACACTTAACCTGGCCTTTTTTCAAGACGTCCCTGATTTGATCTAGAAACGTCCGCCTAGGTCTACCCCATCCAACACTTTCATTCAAACTCGCCTTATACACCTTTTTCTGCAATCGTTCTTCATTCATTCTCTCGAGATGGCCAAACCATTTCAGCATACCTTTCTCAATTTTTGTCACTACATCTTCTTTAAGACCATTGGCCATTTTAAACTAAGAATTTTCTTATCATACAAACATCCATAATGTATTTATAACTGACCGTCAGTAATCATTTCAGATTTGGAAGTTCTAACACAATGCGGACATTGGGCAACTTGATAATCTTTTCCCAAGCAAGCTGTGCTGGTGAGACATCGTCGCCTTCTCGTTTGTAAGCAATCAGTATCGCACCTTGACCATTCAGACCATTGCGACCATCGTCCTAAAATAAAAAATAAAAACTTTGTTTATTCTGGTACATGAACAATAGCAGCAAATAAAAAATAGAAGATCATACCTAATACAATATCTGGCGATTCATCCGCTAACTCATCTATTCCATCCACGTAAACATCTGCAAACAAAAAATCTATGGATTATTTTATAAAATATTTAAACAGTGCAATATTATTTTGTTAATTACTTTTAAGTTTTTCTATTAAAGTCATTTACAATAGAATAAGAATAACCTATAACGCCTATCGGGTCAATAAACTAAAGTTTATGGGGAAGAAAAGTTCTCGAATGGCATCCTCGTAAAGGTTAACGGAGTGTAGGGCTGCCCGTGACTAGACGGAGTGACGACCCGAGTTGCGCTTTTGTAACTGTAATAAGAATCCTTGCCGGTGGGAATCGATGTTCGCAAACCACAAAGAAAGTTTTGAGGACTTGTGAAGTCCACCAGTACGCACGTCTGGTTTTCTTAGTCCTTTAACCCTCAAAGATGAGTTCCTGGTCTTGTAATTGAATATATACTTCTAAAGGTATTTGAAACTGGTGCTATGAAATGTCTATAAATTGAAAGCTAATATTATGTTCAAGACAATTTATAAGAAATAACAAATGTTAAAAAGAATTAATAACTTTTCATTTATACCTAAATCACAGTCCACACAATCTTGAGTCTTCTGAACACTGGGTCCGATACACGGCTGTCCACCATTGAGAGGTCTCGGCGCTGTGCAAGTTCTTTCCCTTCTCCGACCAGCGCGACCTTCGCGTCTTTCTCTCGGATGCCCAGCACAATAACAGTCTACCCATGTGGACCACGTCGTCCAGCCACCGTTGACTATATAATCAAAACGTTATAGAATTTAAAAAAAAATTAACATGAACCTAATAAAAACAAAAACCTTAACTGCATCTTCGTAATCAACGAAATACAACCTAACAAACAAAAATAAATCAGTATTAAAAATAAATTATTCAGCAGATCCTTCCAATACCTTACCTAGTCCCGAAGGCGTCATAAGAGACGGAAAAAGTATATCGGTGTATGCTAGACCTAAAATATCGATACAGTATACAGTAAAAGTTTTGAAACGTGTGATAAGCCAAGCATGACGATTATGGAAAATGTCATTCAGTTAACTGTTTTTATAATATTAGAAGGACAAACAATCTAACATTCCACCTGTATCCAACTATAAACATAAAAGAATACCTGTACATAATCTGTTATTATTTTTAAATGATTGTGTAGCCGCGCAAATTATGTTATAGTGCTTAAGCTCATGCTTGCACACAAACATTTACAAAAATTAATCAAAAAATACTATGCACACAAAATTCAATCACAACATTTTTCCGAATTAAAGTACATATCCTAAGAAATTTCTTTTTAACTTACCAAAAACAGTCAGGAGCGCAGGCTCGGACATCCTTTTCCCGGCTAAATTTTCGGCAACACAGGTGTAGTTCGCCATATCCTAAAAGTAGAATTAGTCTAAGACGAATTGTAAATACCTCATGTTTTCGGAAAATATGATGTGAATCATGTTGGTCAATTTACAAACTTTATCAAGTGAAACATAAACAAATGTGGTTTAAAAATACAAAAGTATGTATTTGAAATTACTTTTAAAGCTTCGAATATCAAAATATAAAAAATGATAAGGATATATATACATCATGTTTTAAAACAAGGAAATGGAATAGAAAACAAACAGCATATAGACACGAAGTATATACATACATTTACTTTTGAACCCTAATATGGGGTCAAATTAAAAGATGAACCAAGCCAGTAATAATTATCATGGGATCAAGTTAAAATAACATCGAATAATACTGATAACGTATTTTTGAAGTGTGTTTAAAACACACATAATCTGCGATAGTTTGATTGGCGAAGAAGTTCATTCTAACCCGTTTGGTTTCCTGAATATTTTTTACAGTTTTATCAAGTATATAATAGCATCGTTTTTAAAGGTTGAGTGAAGGGTGAGGTGAAAGTGTTGAAGATCGTATTTAGTTTACTTCTTCATATTTAAGTGGCGTGTGATTATAACTGACATAAAAGAATCAATCATAAGAGTTTAGGAGAATGTTAAAAAAACTAACAAGTAAACTTTGGAAAATGAAACTATTATTAGTATACTTTGTACAGGCTAAAGAGAATGCAGGATTTAGACATATTCTAGTTCACCCTTACTAAACAAGCTTTATTTGACTCGAATACCTAGTACAGACTATTTTAAAGCCATACACGAAATTGTATTTGTTTGATTCTATATTTAAATGCTTGCAGCATTTCTTTTTCATTTCACTCAGCATTCAAGACATACAATTGCTTCAAGAATTCTATACGTTTCAGACTTCTAATTGATGTTTTATTATTAAATATTCGACATTCTGAAATGGAAACAAAAGAGGGCACAATAATGACACAGCATTATTTTATTGTGTATGTACACATGGATATGCCATGTGTACCAGATATTCATTTCCGTGACCGAAAAAACGGAAACGTGTACACATATTTGAGTAAGCAATCGCGATCCGTACACAATGGAGCACATAAGAGAATGTGGGCTTAATAATACGGGGTTGATTAAAATTTTTGCGACAAACACGGAATATTTAGTGATAAATTTGAGCCTTTGTTTTACCGAATTTTGAATGTCAACATTTTTTATACAGTATGTTCCAACTTTCTTTCTCATTATCTAGTCGAGATTTTATTTTCGTTCAGGTTAAATTTATTTCCATTTTATACAAGCTAATACGCCGTACAAGTGGAATCCTTAATTTCGTGATGTAGGTATGTCCATCGATTTTAATGTGTCACAGCATCTTTAAATTCTTATCTACCTACCTTGATTACCTACTTGATTGTCTTGATCTAAGTAGATAAGAATTTAGGAATATACATTATCATTTACATAGTACATAAAACGGTGCGGTGTTGTGTCGATGTAAGAATATCCACTACTTCATATTATCCCGTGGATGTCGTAAGTGGCGACGAGAGAGACTGAAACAGGAGACAGGCGGCAACGTCTTTCTGATAACAACTCTAAATAATAAAATACTGCGGTTGCCAAATTTTTATACCTATATGACATATATACGTAATATGTATACCGTCAAAAACATAACTTGTAAAAAAAAACCAAGTCTCGCAACTCAGTTCTTCTACCGTAAAAAGTTGTGAGATCCACGTAATACCAAGTCGGTTAATTTATTCAGTCCATTCTTAAGGGTTCTTCTGTCTTAAGTTATTAGGTACCTATCTACACCTATTATTCCATTATACGAGTATTATACATATACATATACAGGTACACTGATTTATTCACTGCAAATGTAACTTTGTAATCCTATATATTTGTATAGGATTACAAATATATAGGATTACAATATATTATAAATTAGGAAAAGGATGGTACGGCCGTGCCGCTTTTTTGCTCGACTTGGCCCCCGCCAACTGCCGTGCCCCCAGATACATAATTTACTGTCACGCCCACTTTTTGTTTTTTTTACTATCCAAACACCAAGACAACATACAGCTTACAGGCTAGATTACAAATAGATTGTGGATAGTAGTAGTAGCATACATCATCTTACGTTTACACTTGAAGGTAACCAAGATATGCTTAACTTGCATAAATAAGTTGAGCAAATAAATTCAACAATGAGATACACAATAAGCAAAGTCGATATATTCATTCATTTATTTATTACAACCTATAAAGTCCACTGCTAAACTGAGATCTCTCCCATAGATTACCTCAAACGGGTTTTGCTAGATACGGTTTAGATAAATCATTTCGGGAGTGCTTTTTCTACTGACTTGCTTAACAAATATCTATATTTAAGGCTAGCTGAGTAATATAGCTTAATTCTAGTTAGTCTATACTATTCCACATGAATCAGGCTATAATATACAAAAAGAATTTTTCAAATTTGACTGGTAGTTCCAGAGATTAGCGCGTTTAAACAAACAAAAAAAACAAAGTTGCCATAGATGAGTGTGTTTTACGACATACGTATATCTTCACGGATCGAGGATAAAAATTTTATATATTTATGCCTACGTTCCATTACATATTTCTAAAATAACGTATAGATTTTTGAATGAGTACAGGCACTTTGCTCATGTTACATTATTTTGTACATATAATATAGTTACATATTTTGCACCGAAAATTAAAACCATTTAACTGCGAAACATGACAAAGCTTTTTATTTATTTCCGAATTACACTTTGCAACTTTAATAGTTTAAAATAACCACATTTTACAAGGATATGCAAAATAACGAAATAAAACTATATGCTTTATATAAAACATGATAATTTCAGAGAAATAATGAACTGAATGAAATGACATTTTTCGGATTATTACGAGCAATTTATATCCATTATGTTATACCACGGATGTTACATATGTTATCGTTACGGATATACGGATGTTATCATATATCTTAAAAAATGTGCTTACCAGTAAAGAAGCTTGTTTGATGACAAGATCTCCCTCCTTGGTGATTTGTACATTGTCATCAACAACTACCGGCGCGCCGTTCTTGAGCCAGTAGAGTTGAGCAAAAGGTGCCGCTGGTGGCGGTTCACAACGAAACGTAACTGGTGAGTATTGTTTAACCAGCTGAGACTGAGGTGCCACTGAGAAATGTTTCTTTATATCTAGAAAGAATTGTCTACTTAAAATTGATTTAAGGTTTTATAAAGGTACACTTAAATAATATTAGAAAGTGTTGGATATGTTAAACAGATTGCCTTTTACCAATTTTTTTTCTATAAAACTGAAGTGAATAAAGATTTATTCTGAGTCACACGTCTGAGTAATAAAAACCAATTCCAGAACATACACAATCCGCTTACAAATTCTGAAGCAGCGCTGCAGACTATTTTTTTTAAATAGGTAACTGAAGTAAGAAATGAACTTACAACTCCTGTGATGGCAAGTGGCTAGTCCAAGGATATTTGCTAAAATTTCAAACAAAATAGGCTACAGATGCGTAGTCATCTCTGAAGACTAATATGGAATGCCTCACAGCTTGTAAATTATACTGGCTCTATATTCTTCTTATATTTGACGGCAAAAATAGGCAAAAGGTAGAACCTACCCACATGGAAACTACTAGTTGATAGAAAAAGTGTCGAACCATTTTGAAAAATTTCACGTACTATATTTGTTCTATATAAATTTCACAGTAAACTTGAACTATCTAAAAAGAAAATCTTAATAAAGGTAATGCTATAATGTAATAACTCACAAGCTAACTCAATAGTAGCAGGTTGACTCCTGATTTGACCTTGGCTGGTCCATGCGAAACAAGAGCATTGGTATTTGTCGCTTCCAAAATATTCCTCTACTTGCTCCCTAGTTACTTTGTATTCACCCTCGATAATTCTCACGCCAGTTTGAGGATCAACAAATTCGAAATTGACTGCTTCTGTTTTCTCACCGTTACATTTAAAATAAACCTTAAAATAATGATGTTTTAATCAAAAAATTAAAACAAAAGGAAACTTCATTTCATATAAAATAAAAGGTTACTTAATTCATAATTAAAATTAAGCATTACAGCACGTGATTACAATCTTAAGGAGTAAAAATATTCGAAATTAATACAATTTAGATATCAAAGACTTTTTAATGTTAAACATAATTATGTTTAAAGAGGTATTTTAAGTCCATTAAATATTAATAGAAAGCAAGCAAGCAAATTAATTCAGGACTTTTTTCAATGAAAAGAAAAATAATATTTTATTTAAAATTTTCTGATAATTAGATAAGATAATTTAGATATGGTATAAATTATATAAATAAAATTGATTTCCTTAATCTATATTAATCTTGCTTGGTTTGTTAATAGTAAAAGACCAAACCACCAAAACCAGACAAAAGTAATAATCTCTCTAAAGTCATTTCCCGCATCTCTATTATTATTATTTTGATTGCTTTTTTAATTCCCAAACCATGGCAACAAATCAATTATTTTTGTATTCCCTCACATAACAGTTTAACCCATTCTCAGGAAATCTAAAATATCGAACGCTCTCAAAGACAGTTGTAAATATAAAATTATAAAATTCCAAGTGTTATACTTGTTGTACTTACATCTAAAGCATTAGCAGCGCGACATTTTAATGTTGCAGCTTTATTTTTAACTACATAAGTGTTTTCAGGTTCTAATAAGAATATGGGAAGATTATCTTTAGTTGTATGTATAGGAATTTTATCATCAACTGGTATAGCACCTTGTGAGATACCAGGTATATGGGTTATGTCTGACGTGTCTCTGTAATTTTCATCTTTATTTTCATAATCATAATCCAAATAAGAATGTTCTTCATCGTCATCTTCATCTTCAACCGTTTCATCATTATTGGGGAAAACTGGTGGCAGAAAATAATCCCTGGCCTCTTTACTGGGATGATTAATTAGCTCTAATGCTTTACGATCTACATTATCGTTTATATTTGTTTTAGCCGCATCGTCATCTACTTGATGAAAATCTACAAAATTACTTTTAGTTAATATCGAACTATTAACATTAATTAATCATAAATAATCGAGTTATTATTTTTTAAGCACTAAGATCTTGGCCAATAATATTCAATAACAATAAATTAATTTTCTTGGTAAATGGGAAAATCATTAGAATATGAAATATATTACAGTTATTTTAATATTGAAAAAAAAATTTATTTAATTTTGAAACAATCAAAACATCGTTTAGAAACAATTCATAATATTTAAAAAATATATGCGTATAATATGCTCTTTCTGTTTAATATTAAAAACAACTTACCTTTTGCCGTATTTTGTCCATTTACATAAAATGCCAATTGTGTGAGTTGTACTAAGAGGAATGTGCACAATTTTACTTCCATTTATACACTTAAAACTTGCAAAAACACTTAACAAACCGAGAATTGCTTTAGAGAAGCCATCGTGTCCCATAACTAAATAGATCTGCGTTCACATTTTTTGTAAGTTTAATTAAAATTATGGTTATTAAAAATATTTCAACGGGAATTAAGTCGCCAATAACATTTCAAACATGAACATCTGTTATGAATTAAGATTTTTCATAGCAATTCAGTTCAGAGTTGAAAAAAAAACAAGGAATTTTATTTCGTCGTAAAAGTTTTCGCAATTCACCCCTTGAAGCGATAGGTGTCGACCCCGCCACGAATACAATTCAACTAAGGACAAGGGGATGAATGAATGCTCCCCAACTCTGACAAAGTTTGTGTGCGCATGTCCCATTCTTGTAGTAGTAAGTACTAAGCGTGTAGACTAATTTGTAAAAATACAATTATTAAAATAATTTTCCTTTCTGATTATTATAATTTAGCTTAATATACCTAAGTAATAAAGTTACTTTCTTTTTGGATAATGATGATTGTTATGTAAGAAATTAGAACTTACAGTTCAATATTGAATATCTGTGACTATAAAATATATAGCTTTAAATCATGCGCCTCGCTAGCGTAGTGTAAGGCCGCTGGGCCGCGGAATCGAATCCCATACAGAGTAAGTATTCCAATGACTCACAAATAATTTTAAGGGATCTGGATGTTTAAACATATGTAATTTATGTATGTAAATTAATAATCTGAGTATTTTATGTTAAATTAAAACGCGATGATATCGCCATCTATCGGAAGCGATTAGATTTTTCTGTCATTTCTTATACTCATAGTCGTCTCTGATGGCACCCACGTGACGAAAGGGGTGACAAATTCTCACACGCTGCCATCACGCAAAGAATACAGCATCACATAATGCCTGATTTAAATGGCGACAGAAAAACGTCAAATATGCGAATTATCTAGGAGTGTGAGGCCAATCCACCTGATAAGTATAGCGATCAAATAGCAGAGGTCTTGGGTTATTCTGGGATGATACACAAATCGAAAACTCCTAAAGTTCACTCATACCATTTGTTTATAACGTTTACGCAAATAAACAATTAAAAGTAAGTTATTTACTCAGTACTTTGTACTTTGCATTCGAAAACTAAAATATTGGAACGAAGCTCCTTATCCGACGGTACGAATTTGGCGGATGGTGGCTAGGCGAGAAAAAGTGTAAGATTTTTCCATCACGACCCCTCCTGACGGCCTTCGCACCTTTAAGGAAGCAAGATGGAATAATATCCATCTCCCTCGCACTTTTTCTTATCATGCCATGAAAGAAATATTATTTTTACATTACGCTTCATTATATTGACGCTAGTAATTCATTTATTTGTATTTGTTAATCAATAATATAATAAGTTTATCAATAATAATATACTACGAAAGGTACTTCGTTCCAACCGAGTGTTCCACTGCACTCTCTTTTTTATTGTTAAACCTTACCGTGAAGTGGCAGTGAAAGAATATCCACTGCTCCATATAATCCCGTTGGTGTCCTAAGACGCAACAGAGGGCAACAAACCAACAAAGATGGACGTCTTGCTGATAACAACCTGAAATTATAAAACTCTGCAGTTGCCACCGCTTGCCAAGCGTCGCAACTATGGCAAATATCCTCCTATGAGGCAATCTACAGGTGAAGCCCATGTTCAGCAGTGGAATGTAATAGGCTGTAACGGTAACGGTAACGGTTATTGTTAAACAACTCGTTAACGTTAGACGACCACATTTTTAAAAAATTGTGTTACTACTATGTTTGATTTTTCGTTTCGCCTTTTTTATTTAGAAATCACATATAGAAGCTTTGAGGGGATAAAACAATTCTGTACAAATACCGACCTCAGCTACCAACACGACGTATCTTGCACTAACGAACATACAAATGATACAATGGGAGCATATACACGGCTGCGTAGCGCAGTAGCTTAACAATGAATGCTCTGCAACTCATTGCTAAAGGCCCCATGTTCAAATCCCGCACAGAACAAGTATTTATAAGGCCTACAAATAATAGTTCCGGGTCTGCATGTTTCTCATTGTCAAATTTATGTAATATGCAAACTGCCCCCATACAAAATCCTAATGTGGAGATAACGTTTCTTTTTTTTTTAAAGAAAAAGCAATAAAACCCTGGAGTAGATGAACCGCCCGCCCAAAGTTGGGTTTCGGAGAAATCTCAACGACCATGAAAACATCAACATACTGAAGCTATTAGTACCCAAATCAATAAGAGTATAGACTGCCATACATACGATTCCGTCGAACCCGCCATTCCATTACATAACTGCATATAACTCAAGTGGAGTTATTAATATGTATTCGTATGTAGTATTTATCAAGTGAAATAAAAATTAGCATATAAGTAACTAGAAGCTAAAATATTTTTGAAAATAATTTATTAAACATATAAATTTACAGATGCCAAATGTATAAGATTCATTCACTTGGTCCAGTGTAGACACCAGAGTATAGTTGTTGATTTGATGCAAGAACGTAGAACAGGAACGGACTGGCAACATCGATCATGAAGTCCAGTGGTCCAGACAACAAATCTGTATGAACAGCTGAGACACAAATACATTTCAAAAATATTTGTTGTTTTAAAGCTTTTTTGAAGTAAAAATTTCATGAGGCGGGTTGGGCGATTTCGGATGGGAAAAATCATATGAGTTCGCGTCACCAACACAAATGTAGCACTAATGCATCAGCTCGATCGGTTAAAGACCACGCCCTCACAGAATACCAGCGTAAAATAACAGCTCAATGCTGCTGTGTTTCGTATGGTGAGTGTAGAGAATTGAAGACCCTTTTTACTGGATAAGGAGCTTTTCATCTTAGTTCTTAGGAGTGACAACTCATCTGCTTGATGTCTATTGTGGGTGCTATGCATCCACTTAGTATCAAGTACACTGCGTGCTTGTGTGTCACCCATAATCTATAAAATTAAAATCTTTAGATGTCACTATTTTGAACACAGATGTATCAACTACTATGGACTTTGTGGTATGGTCGGAAATGGGCCCCGATGTAGTATCAGAGACAAGATGACAATGGCAAAAATTTTACAAACATTTATATTTTGTGCTTGTGAACAAATGTTAGCTTCGGCTGGGATTCGCACTTAAAACCCGCGACACATTAGCTTAATAAATATACGCTTACCAATAAACCGCGTAGTCGTTAATTTTATATACGAGGATACGTAATAACGTCATCACTGATGATTGTTGGCCATAAAACACGGACGTTTACAGGCTTGTCGTTGCTCCCGATATCGCTCTTGTATCAGAGCGAATAGAGGACACGACATACGCGGCTATACACTAATTGCATGTAAGCCGGTAGTAACAGGAAGATTCTCTTAAAAATTAATCCCATTTCTATGGTCTACGGTGCTTATGGTATGCATGGCAGGAGAGAGCACACCCTGTAAAAAATAGAAACACATGAATGCAGTGCGATTTAAATAATACCCCCAGGGTAGTCTTGCAAAAAGCACGATGTCCACATTTGTAGCCACTGCAAATACCATGGCAGCCGCAAAAGAGTAAAAGGCGAAGAGTAAAGAACAAAAACGAGTTTACTTTATTCGTCGGTGCCGCCGATCTTTCTCCTGCAGCTACCTCGCCGAAGCCGCATATTTCGGCACCGCATATTTAATCACCGCCTATGGTAAGCTCAAGCGAAGAGTAAGGAAGAAAAAGGAGCCTACTTTATTCGCCGATGGTACCGATCTTCCTCCTGCAGCTGCCTCGCTGAAGCCGTATATTTCGGCAACGTGTATATAACCACCGCCTATGGTAAACTCAAGCGAGGATTAAGGAAGAAAAAGGAGCCTACTTTATTCGCCGATGCCGCCGATCTTCCTCCTGCAGCTACCTCGCCGAAGCCGCATATTTCGGCACCGCCTATTTAAACACCAGCTATGGTAAGCTCAATCGAAGAGTAATGACGAAAAAGGAGTCTACTTTATTCGCCAATGGCGCCGATCTTCCTCCTGTAGCTACCTCGCCGAAGCCGCATATTTCAGCACCGCATATTTAATCACCGCCTATGGTAAGCTCAAGCGAAGAGTAAGGAAGAAAAAGGAGCCTACTTTATTCGCCGGTGCCGCCGATCTTCCTCCTGTAGCTACCTCACCGAAGCCGCATATTTCGGCAACGTATATTTAACCACCGCCTATGGTAAACTCAAGCGAAGAGTGAGGAAGAAAAAGGAGACTACTTTATTCGCCGGTGCCGCCGATCTTCCTCCTGCAGCTACCTCGCCGAAGCCGCATATTTCGGCACCGCCTATTTAAACACCAGCTATGGTAAGCTCAATCGAAGAGTAATGACGAAAAAGGAGTCTACTTTATTCGCCAATGGCACCGATCTTCCTCCTGTAGCTACCTCGCCGAAGCCGCATATTTCGGCACCGCATATTTAATCACCGCCTATGGTAAGCTCAAGCGAAGAGTAAGGAAGAAAAAGGAGCCTACTTTATTCGCCGATGGCACCGATCTTCCTCCTGCAGTTGCCTCACTGAAGCCGCATATTTCGGCACCGTATATTTGACCAACGCCTATGGTAATCTCAAGCGAAGAGTGAGGAAGAAAAAGGAGCCTACTTTGTTCGCCGATAGCACCGGTCTTCCTCCTGCAGCTGCCTCGCCTAAGCCACATATTTCGGCATCGCCTATGGTAAGCTCATTTGCGGATATGATAAGAAAGCCAAAAAGTCTAAAGCCAATCACAAACGGTTGTATGCCGTCGGTGACTTCAATAGCGAAGCTTCATTCTGCTCTAGGAAAGAGGCATGGACGAAATATCAGTAAATGTTAGAATACCATTATAATATATTACAATTTGAACCATATAATTACATTAGAATTTGAACATTTTTTAGTGTTCTTTTTATCCTTATTGATTATCTTATATTTAGTGACTCGTGTTCATGATGGCTATGCCAGTTTTATCGACCCTTTAA